ACAGAACCTGCGGCTCCAGGCGGTTCTGACCTCGTGGTTCATGATCCTCCCGTAGGTCTCCACCAGCGACTCGGCGTAGAACGGCGTCTCGCCGTACAGCATCTCGTACATGCAGACCCCCAAAGACCACCAGTCACACTCTGGACCATAGCGACCCATCCCGTCCTCCATGGCCTGCAGGATCTCTGGGGAAATGTAGTCAGGGGTTCCCACGGCAACGGAGGACTGGACCTGCAGCGAGCAGAGGAGGAGAAGTCATCATCATCATCATCATCATCATCACCAGGCGGAGCGTCTCCTCACAGAGAGGAGAACCTCAGAACCTCTGAGCTTCAGTCAGTCAGTAGAACCAGCATGGCGCTCTTATTTTGAAAGAGGAAGGAAATGAAACTGGATCTCTTTTCCGCTTCTTTTCTCTCCTTTTCCCTTCCTTCATTTCTTCCCCTCCCTCCTCCCCCCCTTCCTTCCTTCCTTCCTTCCTTCCTTCCTTCCTGTCCTCCCCTTCCCTCTCCTCTCCTCCCGTTCTTCCCTCTCCTGTCCTGCTGGGTGAGGAGCAGTACACTCCCTCCCCATCAGAACCACCAGCGTTCCTCTGGATGGTGTGTGTGCAGAAGTGGGCGGGGTCAGCAGGCTGTGTAGAAGTGGGCGGGGTCAGCAGGAGGTGGCTTACCGTGCCGTCCTCCATCATGCGCAGACAGGAGCCAAAGTCAGCGAGTCGGATGTGTCCGTTGACGTCCAGCAGAACGTTGTCTGGTTTGATGTCTCTGCAGAACAAAGAAGGAGCACTGTGAGCAGGAGGAGCTCCACCAGGGGGAGGAGCTCCACCAGGGGGAGGAGCTACACCAGGGGGAGGAGCTCCACCAGGAGGCAGAGGGAGGAGCAGACGTACCTGTGGATGTAGTGCTGTTGGTGGATGGAGTGGACGGCCAGAACCATCTCTGCTACGTAGAAGCGCGCCATGTCTTCAGGGAGACGGTCCTCAAACTTACTGAGCAGCGTCAGCAGGTCTCCGCCCACGTAGTAGTCCATCACCAGGTACTGCAGAACAGAACCGACCCGGTTAGCCGGCGCCACCAGGACCAGCACAGGGAGAAACACACTGGACCCACCAGGAAGTTGTCGTCCTGAAAGGCGTAGTGCAGAGTGGTGATCCACTGGCTGTCCCCTCTCACCAGGACGTCCCGCTCCTCCCGGAAACACGCCGTCTGCACCGACAACACGTTAGCAACACGTTAGCAACACGTTAGCAACACCTCAGCAACACGTTAGCAACACGTTAGCAACACCTCAGCAACACGTTAGCAACACGTTAGCAACACCTCAGCAACACGTTAGCAACACGTTAGCAGCACGTTAGCAACACGTTAGCAACACGTTAGCAGCACGTTAGCAACACGTTAGCAA